GAAGCTAGCACCTCCTAATTGGGAGTAGTGGCTTTATAAAAGAGCTATCAAAAGGTTTAACATCTCCCTATGCCCCGAGAAGAAGCAGAAAAATGTCAAGAGGAGAAGCAGAGAAGTTGACTGACTGTGAACAAGCGTGTAGGGTCTTGCCTGAGCATACTCTGTCACCTTGACTGTGGGCGTCCTCGTCTTCAGAATAGTGAGACAGAAACGTCTAGAGCGTATCAGCTGGTCAGTGTGTGGTTTTCTGTTCTGGTGTCTAAGATGCTCCCGATATCAACTGACCATGTTCATTGCAGATAACTAATATATTGGGGGGGGGAGTTTCAGGAAGGAGTAACTAAGTGATGATTCTTTCATATAGCTATATAATATGCATGAATAGGTATAAGAGCTTGTGTACATGTAATAAATGTATGCACACACATATACAAGGTTTAATGATGTATCTATTTTGTTTCAAGTAGGGTGGGTATAGATTTATTAAGGGAAACTGAGAAAGAACTCATGAGAATGGGAGGGGTCCCAAGGAAGAAATACCCTTAAGGACATACTTTTAAAGGGGTTGGTGATATATCCGGATCTTCACAATATGTGACAAAAATCACTCCAGCTCAACTAATATAGGTCATTAATATTTAATTCCTACTCAATACTCTATACTGAGGATTGTCATAATTCAGCCAGGTCTTCTTTTATTAATGAATTTGGTTTCCTATCAACTTTCAGTTATTAAAACTAAGGTTACAATGGTCATCCTTGTACATGTGTACTTGTACACTAGGGGTTTAATTTCTGTAGTTGAGGCTCCCAGGAGTGGAACTCTGGGTAGAATTGCATGGGCACATACATTTTTAATGGAGGTCATAAATCATTTTTACATGTCTCTCCAGTGATATATAATCTGCCCTCACCCAGATTCCCATTCCTGGTAGTAATAGGGACATTTACAATTTTATGTTTGCCACAGTGACTGGGTATCTTCACGGTCATTCTAATTTCCATTTCTCTGCCCATTAGGAAAAGCTGAACGTTTTTCTCTTACTCTCATGCTTCTGACAATTGCCTTTTTATATCTCCAGCCCGTTTTACTATTGGTTTGACTATCCTCATCTTTTTTTAAATTGAAAAAGAGCTATTCTTAAATTATAGATATGAATTTGAATGTATCATTTGAATTTAAAGTTATTTTCTCCAACTTATTTGCCTAGGGATTTTATACTTGGTATCTATTGGACTTTATACTTGGTATCTATGCATCTACAAATGATATCTGAGAATTTTGTGCATATACACATGCAATATACACAATACATATATATTCTGGCACTAATTAAGAGCATTTCCCCTGGGTCGGGGAGATGGCACAGAAGACAAAGTCACTTGTCCAAGTTCAAGACCTGAGTTCAATCCCCGGATCCCACACACAGAAAGGTAAGAACTGACTCTCACAAGTTGTCCTGACCTCCACACATATATTACAGCACGAACATGTGTTCACATGCCTACACTCTCACCCTTTCTCCATGAATGAATGGCTATAAATAAGTAAACAAAATCACGTACCTAGCAGTTAGTGCCTCGAAAGAGCAAGTGGATGGATCTTGTGATAATGAATATTCCTTCTCAGGAACATCATGTAGACTCCTGTTTGTTCAGGTCATATTTTTGCCCCACAGTAGGAACTAATTTTCATATGTTTCTGATTTTTATCATTAATGTGTTTTGGATGGTTCTCTTATTTACATGTATAGGTGAATTTTGAGCATGTAAAAAACAAAAACCTAATGGTTTCCTCTATTTATTTTGGATCTACCCAGCTTATCGAGTTATCTTTATCTTCTTTGTTTTTATTAGAGTTTCTTGGTGATGTCAGGTATAAAATTATATGACCAACAAAACGTTTCACCTCTTTCTTCCATATTTGTACTTTGCACATTATACAACATATGTATTGTGTGTGCACAATTTCCTAGGATATGCAGACCATATTAAATGATAATGGCAATACTATAAGTTCCTATCTTGGTCTTGATTTTGACAGGAACTATTATTCTTAGAACTTGTGAGATAGCCAAAGGTGACCTTGAATTTCTGATTCTTCTGCCTCCACTTTCTGAGTGGGATTTCAGGCATAGTTACTACACTTGCTCTATGTAGCACTGAATATTGAACCGAGATCCTCAAGGATAAGAAATACGCACTTTGCCAACTAAGTCACATTGGAGCTCCAAAATTTTGTTGTTAATAAAACTAACTCCTCTTGATTCTTAGCTGTTGGTTATTCGTACCTCTGTGCGTATTTTCTCATTCTAGGATCCAGCTAAGCCCAGTTTTCTAGGGATCGTTGACGTTTTTATAATTGAGGAAGCTGCCGTGGCCAGTTCATGCAGGGGCCCTTAAACCTGAGTTCTGACATAGTATAGCTCTATTCCCCTTGTGTTTGTCGGCTAAGACCGATACACGATCAGATGACGGCCCCGTGGTGTTGTGATGTTAACGTGGAGAATTATAATTCTCCCACAGGCAAAACACTAAGTAACGAACAACACAGTACACTCTGCCTCTCTTCCCCTGCAACTGTGTTTGTTCCTGCTGTCTCGTGCGGACCTTCAGAGGTTTCAATAAGAGCTGAGCCCATTCCGTCTCTACCTATGGCGTTCGGTGTGTTTTAAGTAGGTGTCGCGTTAATCCTAATGCAGCGCCATTCATGGATGTGGTACAGTTGTCTGATGCCTTTAGTTTGTTGATTCAATATAAGTGATTTCCTCAAAATTGACTCTTGAGTTCCCAGAATAGCTGTATTCAGAGCTGTAAACTATTCCCCTGATAATCTAATGAATTCTAGTTCACAAAACCTAGAATTGTCTTTTCCCTCATTAGTGTAATTAGTTGATAATGATCTACTCTGACATAGTTTCAGGTCTGGCTTTTAGGTAATGCACATTTCATAAGGTGGATTTGGATGTTTTGAATTTTTATTTTCACAAATTAGAATAATTTATTGGAGCTAGTTTGTGGAAATATTTTCTCTTCAAACTTTGTTCGACATTGTTGGATTCTAATGCTTTTTCCCTCCTTCCCTCCCTCCCTTCTTTCTTCCTTTCTTTTTATTTTTGAGAGATGGAATCTCATTAGAAAGCCCAGGCTTGCCTCAAACTTAAGATTCTCCTGTGTCAGCTTCCCAAGTACTCTGATTGCAAGGGTGTGCCACCAACCACCACATTCAACAGTAATTGAAAGCCTTTTTTGTTTAATTATCGATTACCTATTCTCCCCAGTATTTTGGTGGTAAATGATCTAATAAAGTTTTCTCTCTCTCTCTCTCTCTCTCTCTCTCTCTCTCTCTCTCTCTCTCTCTGTGTGTGTGTGTGTGTGTGTGTGTGTGTGTGTGTGTTCATGTGGATGTATGCTTACATGCATGTAAATGCATGTGAGTGTGCAAACATGTATTTGGAACCTAGAAGTCAGGGTCATGCACCTTCCTCAATTATTCCACCTTTTTTTCGTTTGAGAAAGTCTCACATTAAATCTAGAGCCCACCAATTCAACTAGGTCAGCTGCCTAATGAGCTCCAGGGACCTATCTGTCTCTGCTTTCACCATGCTGGAATTATTGTGGGGTATTCACCAGAGACGACTGCTCGGTGGGTTTAAGCCTCTATAAAGTCTTTATTAGCTGACCAGTGGCTGGAGTAAGTGTTTGGGGTGAGCTTTTCAGCACAAAGACCACATTCTGGGTTGACATGCTTCAGTTAACAAGAACAGTTAGCCAGAAGCAGAGCTACAGAAGTTAGAAGACGAGGTTAGGACATTTTGAGACTTTCCCAGAACTATATGGACTTTGATGGATTAGCCATTTGTTTTAGTTTTGGTTGGTGGTCTCTATGCTGTCTCAGCCTCTATGCTGAGTTTTACAGTCTGAGTGGTCCTTCTATCATGGAGTCTGTCCTGCTAAGGTCTAGGGCTCCACTACGGAGTTATAGATGCATATCACCCACCTGGCTTTTTACGTGGATGCTGGAAGTCTAACTCAGGTCCTCCTGTCTACACAACTGAGCCACCTCCCCAGTCCCTAACATTTTTACTCTGGAGGTCACCTTCCAAACGTAAATTCATATTAAAATCCTCTGTTTAGCAAAAGATTTTCAAATATATGGTAAGCCTGCCTTTATTATAATCTTTTATGCATTGTATGGGTATGATCGTGTGTCTTAATTCATTCCAACCTTATCATTTTTTTCAAAAGCATGTGTATGATTTATAAATCTGTATCATTGATCAAAAAGTAACTTTTAGCCCGGCCAGTAGAGTGCTTGCCTGTTAACATAAGGCTCTTAGCAAGATGTCCAGAACTGATGTAAGAGAGCCAGACGTGGCAGTTCGGCTTGTGCAGGCAGAGGGATGCCTAAGACTCACTGGCCTACAATGTCCCACGTGATGAATTCTAGGCTAGCTGGATAGAAAGGACAGTGTCTAGGACACAACAGCTGAGACTGCCCTTGCCTCTACATGTATATATGTACATAAATGCACATACACATGGACACACACACAGTACTTTCAGATATTCAGAGACAGAGGCAGGAGGATCACAGTTTTGAGGTCAGCCTGGGTTACATGGCAATACAATGCTTAAAAAAAAAGGTAGCTTTTAAAATTTCTTTCCACTGTTATTTCATTTTCTGATTCATTGCTTTCAACTTATTTATAAATTTCATTTTTAGTTTATTTTCTTGCTCATTTTGTAATTTCTCAAGGAAACTACCAATGTTTTGCACTTTTTAATCATAAATAATCACTAATATCTATATCTATATCTTCAGCAGTCTTCATTTCTTATGGGATAGACTGATTCTCATTGCTTTCCAGGCGGTAGTGTAAATTTTACCACAGCCCCACCCAAATTTTCCTCACACACTCAGATACCCATGTACCCTCTTTGTGGTTCACCTCCTCCCCTCCTATGGTTTAAACTAATTGTTTCCAGATTTCCCCAAAGCTACAAGCTCAGATTTACACATTTCCTAATGCGCACAACTAGCTCTGTGTGCTTCATCCTTGTCTACGTTTCCCCAAGTCAACGATAGATATATTTTTCTTTGTTATTTGTAGCATGATCACACAGTATAGAATGCTCAGATTTATCCACCTTCTCTGCCTTGCCCTTCACACCCATTCTGTTCAAACACTAAATCCTGTTTGTTTTATCATACAATAAAATTACCTTCCTGTGTCTCCGTCTCTGCCATCGCTGCCCTGGCTTGTGCACTCGCCATTTCTGGCAGGTTATCTCAAAGACACAAGACTTTGTTTCCATTTCCGTTCTCCCTGTCCCATTCTGTTCCAAACATAACCCCTAAGACCTCAGCAATGATCTCCCAAAGATGCAAGTTCCACTGTTTAAAAGTTCTTAGGATTCTCTCTGATTCCAGAACAAACTCAGCACAGTCTGCACACCCGTTTCCTTCCTCCTGGAAGAGAAAAGCAAAAATAGCATGAGGGACAGTTTGACTCATTTCATGAGCTCCTCTATCAAGGCACCTTTATCCTCAAAAAATATTGAGTGGAGAAAGGCGCTAATATTTACTCTTACCTACTGTGAGCCAGGTCTTATACTAGGATTTATTGTTGTTTTATTCTATTGTTACAAAATGCATAGAATCTTTTTAGCTGTAAGGCTAATTATTTCATTGATGGTGGCTCACACAAAAGCACAGTCCATTCTTTTATTACAAGACTCAAAGTGGACAGGTTCCCAGCCCCCGGCTTTCCATTTTGTTATACTTAGCTGATTGGCTCTTATGCGTGTATGTTTGTTTCATCAAGAAAGCAACAGACTGGTGAAGATTCAGATAACAATGGGAGAAGGAAAATAGTTGATGGGTGGGAGGGGACTCTCAAGGAAGCTCTACAAAAGAAGGAGACATGGCCCCATAATCCCCAAACAGGTCTCAATTTACATCTTACTAGCCAGACACAGGCACCTGACTGACTGTTCCTATCTTCAAACAAACGGGGTTTCCAGCCTCTGTGGGGAATGGATACAAGATGGTGGGGGAAAGAAAGACCAAGAGATGGGCCTAGAACAGAGTCATGCATCTTTATAGAGTCTTCAGTTCATAAGTGAGACCAAAATTATCCAAAGTTACGCTCTTGGGAATTGGTGGATCTTGGATTGGGCAGGCACTGAGTCCTGTTTCCAGACCTTACCCATCTTTTCAACAGTACCCTAGTTTCTCCTATGCTCTGACAGGATTTCAGACAGGCGTGATCAAGGGTCATTTTCCAATACCAGTTGCTTTTCTTGAAATCACACTGCATATATTCTCATTCACAGAGTAGAGTTACTTACAGTGTTCTCATCCTGACATCTCATGCAACCTGGTTTCCTTTTTTAAATGGACTTTAGGGACCAAACTAAGGCTGCTCAGACTGGCTTTGAAGCACATTACACAGAAAACGATCACATTCAACTACACACACTCTCTCTCTCTGAGCATCTCGATCCCCTATTGGCGCTCCCTGCCGAGTTTCATCCTTTAGCTGTGAAGATGGTTTTCAACACAATCTTCCTGACCTCTGACCTCTTCACTTTGCCTAATGAATAGCTTGTAACTTGGGAAAGACAGTTAAACCTTCTCTAATATATCAAAGGAAAGAAATGAAATAACTACCTTGGGAGAAGGTTCATTTCAACAGCGATTTCCAAGGGAATGAAATATGCATATGAGACTCAGTGCTTTATGTTTCTTTCATCCTCCCTTTAATAAATCAGAGTCCACGGGGCAAGAGTCCAATTCTTCGCTGGTGCAAAAAGAGCTTAAACCTTTTATTAGCAACCGTGTGATATCTGTGATGCTACAAAGGAAACATGATTTCAGGTGGTTAAGTGAAGGGAATACCTGCAAGTCGTAGGAAGCAGTAAATGGTACTGATTCTAACCCCACCAGAATTCTTTCTCCCCTGACAATCATTTTCAGCTCCATCTGCTGCCAAATTCATTTTGGATAGAATTAAAGCTGTGGGCAGCTTAGCAGTCAGGGTTACAAATCGAGATTTGAGAAATGCGTAGATGAGGAAGGAACTATCTATATTCTTTTCCTTTGGAAGCAACCCAAACTTTGCTCCTAAAATGGGCTGAAAAGGTTGCCTTCTCTCCCGAGAGGCTAGATAACCAAGAACACTCATGCCACCTTGAGAAACATTGGACCAAGAAATGTCCATTATTGTTCCTCGCCGCCCTGGTGGCTTTAGCAATGCCTGCCTATTTCTTTCCGACAGCGAGCTTTACTGTGGTGGGAACACGGTAGTCCTGGAGTCGGAAAACAACCCAGGTGAAACTTGTCGGCTTGGAAGAGGCAGGCATTTCCTTGTACAAACATTTCAAAAGCTCCCGAAAAAACATGGGTTTCTGCTGAGATATGAATTCAAAGACGAGACAAATGCAAAATACACAACTGTAGTGAGTGAGTTGAGTATATAATATAGGTAATTTAGATATAATAGTATAGATGGCCCCTGACTCACAGTTGTTCAGACTTTTGACTAAGAGTTTTGACTCTCTATAATGGTGCAATGTGGCACACGTTCAGTAGAAACCATACTTCAAATTTTGAATTTCGATTGTTTCCCTCCCTGAGCCGGTAACATGCGTGATAGAATGCTATCTTAGCATGTTGGGCGGCAGAAGCTGGGCACGGATTCATCATCTATACAGTCAGCAGAACGGACAGCCCACATACTACCATGCACTGCATTACTGGGTTATGGTATTTGGTAGGTGGGTGTATTCTCTGCGTTCCAACTTCAGGTATTTTCCAATCACAGTGTGTTTCTCAGACTACAACCCCGTGGTTAGGTGGGAGTGTATATGTAAACAGACTTCAATCTTGAGACCCTCCATACTATAGGGAACAGAGATGGAATATGATAGACAGGCAAACCCAGCAATGTTCTTCATACTTAGTGCCTGCCACAACTGTTGCCATGGAAACATGAAATCCTCAGCAGATTTCCTGGAAGTTAAGGATCTGCCTGCAGACTTCTTTCCAGATGCCTGCTTGCTTGCTTGTTAAATAAAACCTGGCATTTATCACACGGGAGATTTTATCTCAGCCCACACTGGATCCCTACCCAGGGTGTTAGGCACAGTACTCACGGGAGGAGGGCTTTTAGATAGCAGGGGAGTGTCGTTGGCGAGGTGTCTCAGGGTTTTAGATTCAAGGACCTGTCAACCTGATGGCTCTTCTCTTCCCTCATCAACACTTCCTGCAAAGAAACAAGTTGAAAATAGAATCCGCTCTTAGTGGCCAGACGATGGGAACTCACTTAAACAGCGTAGGTCTTTCTGAATCCGAGTGAGAAAAATCACATTTTGTTGTAGACTCCTCGGGTCGCCTCTTTAAGAGTAATTTCCCCCTAGCAATTAGACAGCAGTTTGCTCTCAGAAAGCAGACTAATTAATTAGGAAGCAGTTAAATGAGTTCTTTAAAAATGTCTGAACGTGTTCTTCTCTTTTTTTCCTAATCCTCCTCAACTTAGCTAATAGCTTTTTTTTTTTTTTTTTGGAAGGAATGCCCTCCAATAACCAATGAATCACAACTATATTGCCACTCTTGCTTCTGGTCTTAGTTTAAGAAGTGACTTGAACTGATAATAAGGATCGCTGTGTATGTCACCGGCTGTTGGTCCAAAGTTGCTCACCCCTGACACAATCCACAGTTCTAGCTCCCTCGTACCCTGTAACTGTGACCTTACTTGACTGTCATGGCCATCGTGAGAGAAACCCAGGTTATCTCCACATTTTTTGTGCTCCGACTGTGACCTTGACCTAAGGTGTCTTCATGTCTTACTGGCCACTGCTCATTAATAAAATGATCTCCAAACTTTACTAAAAATATGGAGCTAGAATAAAGGGCATTCTCTCTTCTGCCTTCAAAAAGGCGGTAGAAAGGATGCCCTGGTTCATTACGTGGGCTGTTTATAGTGACCCCTTCCAAAGAGTACCATGTGGAGGGATGGGGCAAAGGAGCAAGTTTACAGCACAGCGCTCAGATGGCTACTGCCTCAGCCCCTTGATCCAGGTCAGCCTCGGCAGTCATGGACCGAGCTGATGGTTTGTGACCGCAGTGGATGTGATAAACATGGCATTGCCCCTCTGTGATTTTCTGCCCCCAAATCTATACAATACAAACACCAAAAAAACTACACCAGACAAACCCAGGTAGTGGAACAGTCCAGGATGTACCTGACCGGTATTCTTCAACTGTCAAGGTCATCAGAAGCAGGAAAATCTGAGTCCCGGTCACAGCCAAGAGAGCCCAAAGAAGGCAGGAGAACCGAATGCAGCACAGCATCCTGGATGTGATCCAAAATTAGAAAGGGAATATTGCATAACCACTAAGAAAGCCCCAGAAATCTGTGGGCTGTACCATTGGTGGTTGGTTCACAGTAGCATGTACCTCTCAAGATGAGAACCAAAGGAAACTCTAGGCCAGGAAGCTGTCTATGGCAACTCTCTGCAGTCAGCTGATTCATACTTTATTTAAATCTAAAAGTACTGTAAAAAACAGCAACAACAAAAAGAAAAACCCTCTTTTTTGTGTTTTTGAGAACAGGGTTTCCTATTGTCCAGGTTGGCCTCAAATTGCTATGTGGCTGAGGATGACCTTGAACTCCTGACCTTCCGGCCTCTAATTCAGGAATTACAAGCTTGCACCACTATGCCCGGTTTACGCTGTGCCGAAGCTCAAGCCCAGGGCTCCGTGCATACTGGGTAAACATTCTACCAACTGAGCTGCATTCCCGGGAATAAACTCCAGTGATTAAAAAAAAATTGATTAAAAGATCTCACAGGACTTTAGGATGTTTAGGACTCCCTGAAACATGCCACATTGGCAAAAGGATTATTTTGAATTACAGCAAGTGAGAAGATGCAAAATAACTCTCTGGCCTCCCTCTTGCTAGGCACGTGTCAGCCTGGAGACGGCCTCAGAGGAAAACACATAGCAGACATCATTGAACGTCCCTTTCCTCCATAGAGAGAAACCTTCCTACATCCTCCCACCCATAAGGACAGGTGTATACACCCTTTTGTTTGTTTCGTTACCTGTGCAAACCTGCTGTTCCTTGTTAGGATGCTGTATAAACCCAAGATGCACTCCCCTCTCGGTTGCTGATCAGTTTCTCCCTGTGTGTGCAAACTGCCTCCCCCAGGCCATCTCTCCTGTTCTTTGTCATTCTAGTTTTCCGGGTCCCACACAGGACCACACAGGGAACCAGGAGATTGAAGGAAAGGGAGATGTTTTTCCTTCCCTTGAGTAGGAAAGATGGAGGAACATGCTGACCAATAAAGAGTAAGCCCTTGGTTCTGAGGACCAATGTGGGAGACTGGGGGGGGGGGGGATATGGAACACCGAGATCTAGTAGAGAATTTGGGAGCCTTGCCTTCCTCTCTGTTTTGGTGCCTTCATCATGAGCAGTGTCGTTAATCAGGTCCTCATCAGTCCGCCTTTACTCTAAGTGCCTTTGCTGCATGCTCTTGTATGGGTGTTAACTCACTTCTACAAAAGGCCTGGAGAAATGTAACCGTTTATCCAACAGCGGATGGCTAGCAAGTGGCGGAGCCGGGATTTGAACCCGTACAGTTTAACTTTAGGGCATCACGTTGTTGTGTGCCGCTACCGCAAACACTGTGCAAGTGTGGGCAGAATGAAACTGAGCTATCTCCGCACATGCCTCTTTTAGGGATGAATCGCTGCATTTGAGCGTTTGAAACTCCCTGAGCTGGGTTTGGCAGATCCCATTTATCCTCAGCACTGGGAGATTTGTAGGTCTTAGATTTGACTGTGGCAACAGTCTCCTAAAAGCCCATGATGCATAGCAATTTGCAAGGCCACTGGGATGAGACCCAGACTCACCTTCTAGCAGGGTTGGGTGGCCAGATTCCAGATAATCATGGTGTACTTTGAGAACTCTGGTAGCAAACCCCATGTGGAAGCTGGGTGCTGGCTCTAGACTAAACTGCCAGCAGGAAAACTGAGGAGGGTCCTGTTCAGTAGGCAACATGAGTGATGCTAATGACAGCCATTCACGTGACACTCTTACCAGTCCATCTCCTCAGCAGCCCCGCCCCCCAACATTGAGCACATATGTCACTGAACAGACATGAGCAGCATCCTTTCTGCTTGGGCACCATGGTGATCCCAGGGCAATTCTAGCTTATGACTGTTGTCACCATGCATGGTAGCTCCCCCTTTGAGATTTGTGTTTCAAAATCCCCAGTTGCATGAGAAAAGCCACAGCTGGTAATGAACACTATATACCAGTAGTAGGAATTATATTGGTTTAAGTTTCGTGTGCTGTTTGAGTTTGTTGAACGTCGACTGTGGAAGCAAAGAGGCCTTCTCTTGATTCCTCCGACCCCCTCTTCCGCTCCCCACCCTGTCCTGGGTCAGGCTTGTCCCCCTGGCTTTGTGAGCAGGAGAGAGAAAAAACGACAGGCAGCTAAGAGTATTACAAACATGGCATCCTTGAGAACAGCTAGAAAACAAGCCACTTCCAATAGACATCTCTGGTGCTTATCCCCTGATATTAGCATAGCTGTGGTGGGAGTGGGAAGCCAGATGCTCACCCATCAAGAGGAAACTCAATCAGAAACTCAAGCCGACTCTCCCAACAAACCTAGTTTGTTTGATTTTTACTTAGATGTTTATAAGCCCCATTTGGGTGATGTTACCTTGCTTTTTCTCTCTCAGTCAGACTACATTAGTCTTCTGTGCCAGCTGCTACAGACTCCCGATTTGGTGTTTTGCGTCTTTTGCTGTGTCTGTCACTTGCTAATCTTTTACTTTTGCTTGTAATACACTTAATAAACTCACTCATTCAAAACCAAAGCCATAGCTGTCGTGAATCGTTCTCCACACTGCAAGGAATAATACTGGTACCATTGCTTCTTCTACATGTCCTGCTATGTTGCCACAAAACACCAAGAAAATCTGTGCTTCCATGGTCCACCTCCTGATGCCTCTGTTAATCCCAAAGAGGAGAGGAGAAAGACTCCTGACCCAAATCACCATGACCAAATTAATTAAAGAAATTTTTTAACTTCATGTATACAGGCTGCCTCCCCCTTATGAGAGGGTCAGCATTGAACGTGAGGAAGCCAAGGATCTTTTAACTTGGGGGTAGGGGGTTTCCAAATGGGAGATTTGGTTGACAAAATAGGTGGGGTTATAGGAGCTGAACATAGCATACCAAGTTAGTCCCTCTTGAAACAATGACATGGTTGCAAGGTGGGCTTCACAAGGTAGTCACAGGTGGCCATGTAACCTTTTGAAACCGAGGTAGGATTGCAAGATGGTTATAAACAACTTTTTGAGACAAAGACAACATTGCCATTCTAGCAACAGGCAGTAGAGAACCGTTTGTAGTTAGGGTTCCAGGGGAGGCATAGCCCAGTCCTTGAGAGGCAGAGGTTTAATTATCAACAGGAATGGACCTAGTTTGTCTTCACTAAGATATACTTTTAATATATGTTGTATATTTGTATATGCTATATGTTTATACACTATATATAGCATGGATATATGGGAGCAAAGACTGACTCATTTTCCAAACAGAACAGGGCTTAATGGTGTGAGATTTCACTGTACTGCCCCAAACTGTAATTTATAACTTGTGGATTGAGGTTGAATGATGTCTCAGGGGATAAAGTGTTCACTGCCTAAGCAAGAGGACCCAATCTAGATCAGCAGCACCCATGTAAAAAGCCAAGCCTCTAGTTCAGAATTAGAAGACAGACTTAGGGATTCATGTAATCTAGCCAATTGGTGAGCTCTAGGTCCAATGAAAGACCCTGTCTCAAAAGTAAGCAAATAAACAAAGTGGAGAAAAACAAAGAAAGACACCCAACATTGACTTCTGACCTCCATGCTCAATGTGGACACACATAAATACAACATACACATGAACACAAATGAATAACTAAATAAAAAGTGCAGCTTGCATAGACAAATAGATAAAATTTGTAGATTTCTTGCTTTCAGAAACTTCCATTTGACAATTTTTTAAGACTATAATTGGATTGGGGGACAGAGATCGTCGGGGGCAAAACCACCGGTAAGGGGGTGACTACGATTGTTGTTAGGGGTGCTGAACTTTGAGAAGTAGCTTGTACGGTCACCATAACTGTGTCGTGGAGTCTTCTGATGCTCCAGGCTGAAGCCTCTAGGAACCATGCCCCCTGCTCTTC